CAGTACGCGATTGCCGCTCGTGGGCAATCTCTATGAGAGGCAATCAAGATCTTCCGATGCGATGCGTTTTGGAAGAGGACAGTGATGGGCAGTGTGTATATGAATATGAAACCAAACTTTCTCTCATTTAGAGCTTGGCTTGATCATCCAGCCCTTACGTAAAAGATCGAGCATGGAAATATACCCACACTCCACCGCTCGTTTACGTGCGATCGACAGACTAAACGGACGAGTCATAGACGATGCGCCCGGATGATTTTGTGACTTCGGTTCATTACCAAAAGTTGCAATCTCAAAACGTTTGCCGTCACCATTCACCATCCTACCGGTATGTTTGCCGTCACCATTCACCATCCTACCGGTATGTATTTCAGCTTCTCCTGGCGAATGAAATGATACAGATGCATCAGTCGCGGACTCAACGTTTCATCAGTCACTTTGAGTTTACAAAGAACCCACTGATACCAGTTCTCTAATCAAGCTTTGCCTTCTGAAAGCTACATTTGCCGTCACCACCCTATCTCATGAACATCAGATACCGAAAATTTGAGCTGTTCAATAGGCGAATGGTGGCGAATGACACGGACGCATCTTTTGCATTTCCCAATGACTTTTTCTTCATTTAACGACTTCTGATCGGCCTCTGATCAGTCAGGAAGGACCCATATACTCACTCTTCGTAAGATTCACATTTTATACATAAAATTAATCTCTATCATGATTTTCAGTGGCAACCACGACAAGCTTCTACAGGATAGCTTCAGCTCCTCAAATATGGAAGATGACAGCCTACTATCTCTTATGAGAAGTCCTCTACCGCCTTTGGAAGCACCAAGATCGTCCCCTTCCCAAGTTGTTCGTCCGCCTGTGATGTCATTCGAGATTCCATTCGACGATCCAAGGATGGAGCCTTTGCCTATGAGACCAGAACATCAAGATACTCATGATGGCTCTCCAACGCAATCAATATTTGATTCGATCTTCTTGAAAGAGGATTTCTCTGGCTCTTTCTTCAAGGAAGAACTGAACATGACAAAGAATCACGATACGACCACCAGTCTTGGACAAGGCCTGATCACAATTGCGGACTCCAGCAGCAGAAGTCCCGAAGCCTTCTTCTCCAGGCAAAGCCAAAGTCCTTTGAAGAGGAAACGGACGAGTCGTATGACTTCTCCAAACGAAGAAAGCACAGCTCGATTTCGTCCCTATCAAGAGCAGCAATGGCGAGCGCAGTTCCAAAAGCTGGTTCAATACAAGCTGGAGCATGGACATTGCTCTGTTCCTCATGCTTATCCAGAGGACCCTATCCTAGCCCGATGGGTCAAGAGACAACGGTACCAATACAAAAAGTTCAACGATAACAATCCTACATCGACAATGACCACTTGTCGCATCCAAGAGCTCGAATCTATTGGCTTTATATGGCACTCGCATGCTTCCGCGTGGCTGGAGAAACTCAATGATCTCAGAGCCTTCAAGCAACGAACAGGTCACTGTAACGTCCCTTCTGACTATCCAGCCAATGTTGGACTTTCCACTTGGGTGAAGTGTCAACGTCGGCAATACAAATTGTACATGGCTAGGTCTTCTTCTTCTTCAGCTGCGGCCACTCATCGCTTCCAAGTATTGGATTCCTTGGGTTTTTTGTTTGAACCCCAACTTTCCAAACGAGGGGATATTTGAGCATGAGGATACAGCTACGGGTAGTTAAACCATTTGTAACTGATGTCATTCCATATATTTCAAGGTTTGGTTCATCAATCTAGCTAGATCGTGCTGATGTTGCAGCAAAGTACGCTTTCTCTCTCACCTTTGAAGTCGAATACATCCAACGCCGTCCAACATCTGAGCGCTATGCAGATTAAGATGATGATTACAAGATATAATAAAAGACTGTAAAAATCGGGGATGGGTTCATTATACCGGTATATATGCGAGGGCGGCGGGGGATATTGTTTGCCCACAAAATGGACTGACAGACGATGACAGAACTGACGGCAACACCTTAATTGTACGAGAAAAAATGTACTGAACGCGCGTAGAACGCAATGAAACCGCCATCACAAAATCCTGAAGAAACTGACATCAACTCAAGACAAACATATACACGATGGCATGAAGACGTAAACGTAGTGAGATGAAAATGTAGGAATATAGCACTTACACCCTTTCTAGTCCAAAGCAAAAATCAGAACTAGTGTAGCATCCTTGTGTGAATCAATATTTACTCCCAAGAATTGAATACTAAATTTCTATTTCCCGGCCGTTCTTGAACAAGCCACAGTACAAACCGAATAGACCTCAACGATGCGTCGCTTCGACTCTTTGGGATATGCTTTTCAGCCGCAATCGTCAAAACGAGATGATATCTGAGCGAACATCCGTTGAGCTAGGATAGACAACGGAAAGAAAGCCGTAATAATCCCCAGAACATAGTGTTATAATAGTTATGATAGATGCATGACAGGGGGCATGGCCCGGTTGTACAACCAATTGAGACCTAGGATTGGAAGGCGAAAAAGTTTGTTGGCAGGTTGCCTTCTTGACCTTCAGGGATGAACTGTTTTTTGCAATTCGTCCATGTGACAATCGTTTTCAACATGCAGCGGCACAGTGATTAGGTTCTGATGAGTTGATTACTCGCATAATGTTTGAAACGTAGCATCTCCACAAGGTTCTTCCGGGAGCGTCAACGGACTGGGGTGGATTCCGCAGCAGGAGCTCTCGGAGTCGTTCAAAGCCTTTGTTGAATGGAATTTCTTCATTCCTTGACGACTCCAAGATGGACCGCGTTTGCTCTGTAATCGCCAGATTGTTTATGGCTGCTCGGAAGAATTCTATGTTGGATGAGACCAAGGTCCTGCTTGCATTTGACTCCGTAGCCCCAACACGACGAAGAGTGACTATTGCACTGTCATACATCCGACTGGCCCTCTCTAAGAGGTCGCAATGTGACCGGGATCCCTCACCAAGCCTTCTTTCATGATCTATATGAGACAGATGACAAGCAAGCCCATAGTTGAATAGCATGGCAACCAAAAGGTTGGTGTGTGCTCCTGTGATAAAATTGGAAGTTTCAGCATTTGTTCGGGCTCTGCCAATGCTCAAAGATGGAACGACGAGTGGCCTTTGATATACAAAGAAGGAGGCCGTGGGATCAAACCCATGGCCGATTCGACAAGCTTCCGTGGCAGGATACATCCATGTATCCAGAGAGTCAGAGTTTATATCAGAACTATTGCAACGTGAAACCTGTGGCATTTGCGCCAGATGCGCTTGAACCTGTCTCAAGCCTATTTGCAGTCTCTCCATTCCTTCGGCGTATTCCTTTTGCACAATGAGAGCAGCTGCCTCGTTGTTTATTTCCATAATTAGGTGAAGATGTATCGTTAGTCTTGTCATGCTAAAACTTTTGTCTTGAGTATTTTTATGAGATTGTGTCAGCACCTGTGCAGCAAGAGTGCGGGAACTTCAGAAAAATAAACTGACATCCCACCACGGTAACTTGCTGTACAAGTGTACGACTGATTGGAGATTGGGGGTGACGTGAAGAGGGATCTATAATATATATATGGAATGAATCGTACGAATGGTGACGTATATATATGACCGAAAGATTCGCTGGCTCGCGAGCGGCGACCATACAACAGCTTGATATTGTCTCAACGACCTTAGGATATATGGCATGACGTGAAGGAATATGTCCCGACGACGTCGGATTGAAAAGTCCAAACTGACGTTCACGGGCACTTATTCATCATTGAACTGTACCGGTACCGAAACATCCGCTGTAGTAAGTAATACATATATAAATGATCTGTTACACACATTATGATCTTCAATGATCACAGAGAATTATGGCTGGTACTTTTGAGAACACCAAAGATGGGTTTGCATGACGTGCGAGTGCACATTTTTATTAGGAGCACCGACGACTCGGAGTCCACCGCAGCCACCTCTGCCGAGTTATGCATCGGGCAGTACACGTACCGGTACCACGGCGTTAGCAGATGTGACTGCTGTTGCTCCAAAAAATATACTAGCATCAGACAGAGAAGAAGGTGGAATTACTGAGACAGGCCTTACCATACTGGGCAGGCCTATACCTTATTGCCAGGTTAGTTCTCCCTCATGGCTCCCTGGCTCCGATAAGAATGCCTTTCAATGTCCGATTTTCTTGCCGCTACTAGCTAGTAGCCTGATTCATTCCTATGGTCTTACATTCTTCTACAACTCTTTGATTGTGGTTGTGAATATGGTGACGCGAAACAGTTGGATTTATTTCATGATTCCTGCCTTGAAGGGCTTGCCATTTGGTGACAGCACTCACAATCGATCAGTTCATCGACCTCATCCGCGAATTAAAGTTTATTTTCAATGATTTTTATCATAATGTTCCCTACCTGTAGTGGCAGAGTTGTTGGACCTTTTCCAAGAACGAGAGCTTGCGGCGACTGATGAGCTTGAAAGGTATGCGACCTTCAGGTTTCATTGCGTGTACAGTAAGTAGTGTCGACGATTTAACAACTGTCACCTGAAATGCAAACAGTTGAAGCCTTTGCACTTCAGCAGGAACATAGATATTGCAAAGCATTTGATGACAACCATGCTCCATATTTGTAAAACGTTTCACACAAAATACAGCCCACAAATTATTCAGCAGATTGTGTTTCCTCATGCACCCTCCTTAAGACAACAAGCCTCTCAAGAGGCTGGCTGCAATAATTCAAGTATCAAAGATATTGAAGACAATGGCCTTCTTCTGTCAATTCTGAAATGCCCTCTGCTGTCCTCGGACCATGTACCAAGCCCGAATCCCTCTTCCTCCTTTCGTTTTTGGTCTTTTGAGAATCCAATTGAGGATCCACTCATGGAGCCTTTGCCCCTCCAACAGCAAGATAATTACTTGCCCTCGTGCTTCAAAAATCCAGTTCAACAAAAAGACCTGATTGGCATTGCAAACTCCGAAAAAAGATCTGAATACCCCTTCTTTGAATACAACCAAGGGCTAAGCCATATCCAAGTTGTTTATCCAAACGAAGAGAGCACAGCTCGCTTCTGCCCATACCAAGAAGAGCAATGGCAAATTCATTTTAAAGAGCTCGTCCACTACAAGCTGAGGAATGGACACTCTTGCGTTCCCCACTCGTACACAGAAGATCGCACACTTGTGCGGTGGGTCAAGAGACAAAGATACCAATACAAAAAGCTCAACGGTAACAATCCCACATCCACCATGACTACTCATCGCATCCAAAACCTCGAATCTATTGGTTTTGTATTGGCTAGAGGCATTCAAACAGAAATGGGGTCACTGTAACGTTCCATCTCACTATCCAGAAAATCTTGGACTCTCCACTTGGGTAAAATGCCAACGTCGTCAATACAAGCTTTCGTATTCTGGGGCCTCGTCGAGCATGACAATGGAACGCTACAAAGTACTGCAGTCCTCGGGGTTTGTGTTTGAATCACATAGGTCAAAACTACAAAATTGGACACGACTTAACAACTAGTTGCACGATCATAAATAGTATGTCATCATAACCCTACGGATGTTTGTCACAGTCTTCGATGCATTTTTCATTCCGTAATAGCTCGCAAATTCTCCATCTCCCTTCAAGGATCACAAAGATCTCCCATTTCTTCCGATTTTTGAAAAGAGGTGATAGCTCATGCAATGAATCTGCAAGTTTGCAATAAATCGGAGGAGAGTCGCAATAATGAAGGATGGCACGAATAAATGTCTTGATTTGTGATTTCCCATCAGATTTCATCATCTCACAATAAACGAAACATGAACAGAAGTGGTGGCAGTATCGTGAAGAAGCACCTGAACAGTAGAACAGTCAATAATATGACTGTTATTTTAGGAGATGGTGCCACCAATGCTGAAGACAAGCTTGGACATGACTTCAAGCAAAGACTTCAAAAAACTTTGTCACATGAAAAAACGGACAGGCAAGACCAGGAGAGACTATACTGCAATCAAATTCTAAGAATGACAAAGTATTTTCAGCAGAAGTGCTTCAGATACTTTGAAGTTGGTGTTTGCAAAAACACATCTGCAGAAATGAATGATCTGGCAATGTACTTTTATGATAAGTATGAGTATCATCTCATTTATGCAGGTCTAAACGTAGATGATGTTCTCAAGTTTCTCATGGATCAAATGAGAACTACAGCAGGCAATCTGCGCACCAAGGCAGACATGCAACAGTTTCAAGATGCTATCAAGTGAGGTGCCCAAATCCTTGGCAAAGCACTCTCCCAAGAGTGCTCGGACAAATTGGATCTTTGTCTTTTCTTGTACAAGCGACAGGTTGCAGCTGGCAAGGGGAATGGGGATGTCCAAACAAAGGAGGCAGACCCAATCACAAAAGAGCTTTACATGTTAATTTGCAAGTGGGCTTCTGAAGATGGCAATAGACCTTTGGACAAAGACTCAGTGGAACTGCATGGGCCGTTGAGGCAACATTGACTACCTTGGATTTGGCAATTTCAGAATTGTTTTGGATGCACATGCTGTTATACATGACACTACAAAAAAGGATAAAGATGGCGATAGATGTTTTGCTAAACATATTTATGCAAATCATGAGTATAACTGTTATCGCCAGTGGACAGCCATGGGTATCAACTGTGCCTTGTACAAAAATGAGCTTGGACCAACTCAGAAACTTTTCATGTGGAATACCAAGGACGGCAGTGCTGCAAAGAAATATCAAGAACAGCTGGAAGCTCTTGTGAATAAAACTGAGGAAAGGAGAAACATTATTATTTCTCCCTGTTGAAAAGGGCACTCCAATGCTTACGGTTTGCGGAAAGGAGCTACAGATTATGCAAGCTCAGGAACCACATGTGCCCCGTCCCTTTCTTCTATTACAAACCGTGGTGATTGGTCGATGGGCTCCGTCTTTGACATATACTGGAGATTTCTGCCAGTTGGCGATCATTACTTGCTTCCAGGAGTACACTGCCCATAACCCAAGCAACGAACTCATCAAGGTTCCATTCTACAACATGAGATGATCGGAAGTTGACGCATTGCAACAGCTTATCACTGTTGAACCAACTCCAGATGTGATGACCACTATCAATGGCGTCCCTCCACACATTGAGACAACTTGCCAAATGAAGGCAATTCATGACAACTTGATAAAGTCACTTGCACAAACAAAAATCAGTAAGGAGAACCAGAAGCAGCGCGACAAGCAATTGAAGGCAGACTTTGTTGCGGCTGTTCACCATGGAATAGAGCAGAATGCAATTTCGAACGGCAACATTACTGCAAAAGGTATCAATGACATCATTTAAAAGCACCAAGACGCAACAAATAAACAACTTACCGAACATTTCAAAGCAATGCTCAAGAGCCTCACTTCCAAGGTGGTCAGCCAGCTCCGGTCCCGCCATCTGGAAATCAAGTTCAGCAAGGGCGTGGATTGTTGCTTCAACAGCCTGATCAAGGAACACGCGCACTTTTACACCAAAAGGTTCTGGCCACTTCCGGAAGGCTTTGAGTTCCCTCCAAAGCCAAACCTTCCCCAAGTGCTTCGATGCTGGCTCAAGGGTCAAAGGTATGGCAACAAATATGTCAAGTCATTTTGCCAGCTACGACCAAAGGACCTCCCAACCCGAGTACTCCAGTTACAGATGCGAGGTGAATGGCAGAAATTTTTCAAGTATCTCGAGAACAATGGGTTAGAAATGCCTAGTAACACGAGCGAAGAAGTGACTGAAGCACAATTGGAATGTACTACCGATGAGATGTGGGACCTTTTGGAAAACAGGGTTTCCTATGCTTTCACAAGAAAGAATGCAAAAAGCCCTTGTCTTTCTACTTTTGCGCAAGGAAGTTATCGCCATCAGAAATTATTAAGAATGGAAATCCGTCAGATAAGACTTACTTGGAATCGAGGCAGGAGGCAAAACCTGCCGCAAGACAATGGAAAAATCGAGTCCGACCGCTGGCTAAAAATCCAAAGTACCTTAGACGAGGAAAGCAAAAAAAACAGCAAATGCAATGAATCCAGCAAGATTGCAACAGGCAACAATTCATGCAGGAGCGGGTATCTTGCTCGAACCGATTAACCACTCACCTCGTGTCTTGAATTCGACTCGATATTCAATTGAAGCAAATGCAGAACAGGATCGAATGATGGACCCACATATCTTCAAGAACTCATCGACAGATTTGGAATCAGGCGGCCATTTCCGCCAATATCAGTTCCAGGACCACTAGGACCATGTGCTTGTGCCGGTTGCTCCAAAGAGTTGGAACTTGGGCGACACCGATGTGCCTGATGCAACATCGTCATTCACAATAACTGTGCGATGGATCGAAATTGGTACATGCAAAAGAATGGTGAGGAAATGTGTTTTTGTAGTGATCAGTGGAAATGCCTTGAATAAAATAGTAAATGCATGTTTCATCGTCGCCGATTATCGATGGGTCGTGATTTTCTCTCTTTTTTGATGATCGTTGTGATCGGAATTGTGTCAAATTGTCACAAAATCAACGTTCAAAATACGTAGAAACACCGCGCGCAAATTTAGTACATGAACTTTTGTTCCTCGTACAAAATTCAACGTGTGCCTACCGGTACACAGAAAGCGGAACTCAGCGATCCGGAACAGTTTTTTATATGTTGTACTGTTTTGATGTCAGGCATGTCGTAGATGTCACATGATGAGTCAGAGACACAAGCAGATGTCCAGCTTGTTCTCTGTCATGCACGGCCAATAAGTAATGTATATATTGGCGAGGAACGGGTTCGACAC